CTTTTAGATTTTATTCACTCCTTCAGGTTCTTACACTAGTGAGACACTATGGGGTTTACACATGCAGATCTGGTTTATTTCACTTATGAGTATGGTCTCTAGTTGCATCCATTAACCTATAAAGCCTTGAGTTTATCTTTCTTTATAGCTGAGTAATATTCCATTATATAAAATACTACAAATTTTTTATCCATTCCTCATTTGATGGGCATTTCAGTTGCTTCCACGATTTAGCTCTATATAGAAAATATAAAGAATTAAAAAAATCAGCCCCCCCCAATTCAAAGACCCAGTACAAAAATAGGCATCTGAGATGAATACCCACTTCTCAGCTGAAGAAATACAAATGACAAATAAACACATGAAAAAATGTTCAACAGCATTAGTCATTCAAGAAATGCAAATTAAAACAACACTGAGATTCTCTCTCACACCAGAAAGAATGGCTAATATCAAGAAATCAACCAATAACAAATGCTGGAGAGGCTGTGGGGCAAAGGAACCCTTCTCCACGGCTGGTGGGAATGCAGACTGGTGAAACCACTGTGGAAATCAGTTTGGAGATTCCTCAATAAACTAGGACTGGAGGTCCCATTCAACCCAGCTATTTCCCTTTTGGGTATTTTTCCAAAAGAACTGAAAACAGAGATGTATGTGCACAGCGATATATGTGCTCCCATTGTATAGCAGCATAATTTGCAACAGAGAATCTTTAAAGGAACAAGGAATCTGTTGCCTAAGTGGTAAAGCTAGTTTGTGAATTCTATACCTATAGTGGGAAAGGAATGAAGGTATCCACTGATTCTAACTTCTTGCCTTTAAAACAGCTATTGTGGGTCAATAAAAATTTTATCACCTGAAAGGAAAACTTTCAAAAGGAGTTGATGAAAATGTCAGATTTCAGACATTGAAACCTAGTTATTAACATTGGTATAGCACGTTATCCAAACAACTATTTGGCACCTTTCTATGTTTTTCAAACTGCATTGTAAATTGCCTGCCTCCATAGACATTATTTTCTGTGAAAAAATCCTCACCTGTATTTCCTTAAAAACTTTATACCATCTAGAGTACTCTTGCAGCATACAAGTATCCTTTTTCAAGAATAAAATTTTAGTTTCATTTAGTAGTGTACTTATTACATGATCATATTGTGAAGTATAGTGGTAAATTAGGTGAAGGTGGCAATGTGTTTCCCAGGTTACAACATAGAGGTGAAGACAGGTGGTTAAGCACACACAGTGTGGAGTGAATGGGACAGGGCTAGAATTACAAAGAGTCCACATGGCACTGTAGATGTCGGTTCTACTGTAACACAGAAGTGGAGAAAGGAGTCGCAGCTAATGCTTGTATTGTCAGTGGTGAATAATACTTGTCTAGAAACAGAAGAAAGGACATAAACTTTCCCTGTGGAGGAACTAGCATGTGCAAAGATATAGAAAAAGGAGAGAAGTAAATTTCTGTACTTCTAGAACTATCACCTTTACGTGGAAGAGAGTAGTAAGAGTTAGGGTGGGCAGTAGAGTGAGATCATACACTTAAGGGGCTTTAAAGTCTATTAGGAATAGAGATTTTTATGAAGATGTAGAGTTATTTAATCAACTTGGTGATGGTGGTGGGATGGTCGTATTTGTACTTTTTTGGTGGGTGAATTTGTTTGCCCATGAAGAAAGGGCTGGAAGTCAACAAAATATTTAAGGCACAACTTCCTGTTCAGTATTTCCAGAGAAGAGAGCATTAGGCTTAATTATTAATATAAATAACTATAAAACTAAGCCAGTGGTATAGTACAAAAAATTTATTCACATTGGAAAGTACTCAGCATAAGGCTGAGACACTTGATATTAAAAAAAAAAAAAGGAACACAAAATATTAGTCCTCTGTTCCCCTGGCTTTCTGCCTGAGGTGATGTCCAATGTACGATGCTTAAAAGCTAAAAGAAGACTTCCTACTATGTTGAGTAAGAGTTTGTTGTTTAAGGAATGCTAATATGGGTGGAATTTGTGGGGCTTGTTGGCAAGGGTAACCACAGTTCTCATTTCAGGGGAACCTGCAGCCTAGAAATATGTAAAGAGGTTTATCTTCAATTCTTGGGATGCAAAGTGATATTCCACAAGGTATAAATGCTGATAAGTGACAGCTGAGAAGAGATTGGGGCTCACACAAGGCCTGTGCATGGAAACTGAGTTGTTGAAGTTCTGACTCAAGAAGAGTCCAGATTTCTTAAAAACTGAGTCAGATATTCAGCCGAGACCCTCACAATAGGTATGTATTAAAGGTAAAGATCTCATTAAAGAGCATAGGGTAGCAATAGGAGTGAAAGAATTCATGAAAATTCAAGAAATAGTCATACTGCGGTATTACTAATATTTCATGATAGTTTTTTTTTTTTTTTTTTGGTACCGGAAATCTAACTCGGGGACGTTGTGCTTGCTGGGCCATGGTAGATTTTATATGAGTGCTTATGGTGGCAAATTAAGTGATTATTCCTGTAAACTAGGTCTATGTAAACAAAATATTTTTCAGAGCTAATGAATGGATCCACAGAGCTAAGTTTCAAGTGAGAGACCACTGGTCATTTTAAGCAGAGTAACAGACCCAATGACCATCTCTCTGATTTGTAAAGACTCCAGAAAGTCCCCATGGAGCAGCCTGAAAATGAGATTGGAAAACACTGCCAGCAGAAGGGAAGAGGTAAAGAAAAAGGGGGAAGCCCTCTTGTACCCCAGTCCTTCTGTTAGAGTGGATGGAGGTACAGGCTTCTCCACTCGTCTGTAGGAGCCCTTTAGTTCGGAAGAGGAGCCTATCCTTTCAGCCAGACTTCTTTCTGCCCTTTATTATTAAGTCTTTGTTATCCTGTCCAACCAACAGCACAGGACTTCCTTCCCCATTTCAGTTTCTGCGCTACGGAACTCACTTGTCCAATTCAACTAAAGAGAGGGTGCAGCTATCTCATTGTACAAGGAGGACTCGCATCACTGGCTACCTGACAGAAGAGGCTGCTGCTCTCCTGGTTTGGTGGTTGTGGGAGACTGTGGGAACTCTGACAGCAAATACAAGCATGGAAACATGCTCTTTCTTAAAACTTTATCTCCTTTTTTTACATTGTTTTTTTTTCCTGTACTGGGAATCGAACTCACAACCTTGTGCTTGCCAGGCAGGCACTGCCGCTGAGCTAAATCCCCAGCCTCCTTAAAACTTCATCTCTTCAGACCAGTTTGTTCTTTGTTGTATGGGAGAAGATGAATTCTTCCATATTTGTAAATGATTTTTGCTTTTACTAATTAAAAAAAGTCATCATCATAAATTATGTAAGCTTTCTACTTCAATAGATTCATTTGATGATTTGTCAGTTAAATTCTCTTTGTCTCATTTTATGTTGATTTCTCTCTAAATCCTTCAGTGTTCTCCTTTTCTATGTGGTTTCTTAAATAAAGGAAAATATGAGTGACCTAATTGTTGATTGCCTGACCCCCTATAGTAGCAATCTTTTGCGGGGGGTTCTTGTTTCCCTATATAAAAAAAGAACTTGCTATAATATTTCTAGAAAAAACTTTCAAATATACTTTTTATTGTAAAGCATGTTATCACTGATTGTTCTTCATTTGTAATGACTACCTAAATAGGAGAACTCATATTTTTCTATTATAATGGTTCTTCGTTCAAGCCAGCCAATTATCAGTACGAAGAACACCAAAACTCATGCGAAGTACAGCTGAATACAGTACAGAGGAAGCCTCACAGAAAATGAAATTCTTTGCACCTATGTAATAAAAAAGACTTCACAATAAAGGAAGAAGAAGATGTCTTACACAAAGAAAGCTACTTGTGAATCGTACTGAAGATCCCTGAGATGTACAGTGAGCCACGAGGAGAAATTATAATAAGAAAATTCCTACGTACATGGCAAGCTCTTGTGAGCCGCTATATCAATCATTGTGACAATCTTTTCTAACAGGCAAATCCTTCATATTTCTAGCTCCTTCATTATCCTTGCCGGAGAATCTAATGAGCAGTGAAATGTCCAAAATGTGGGAAGCGAGAAGAGGTAAAGTCCCTTAATAAGCCAGCACGGGAAAGTCAGTTCCTCCTAATGTTTCCTGAAATAAACCAAAAGAGGCAATCATTAAGACAGGAAAAAGTGTCATTTTCATCACAATGCCTATGAGTTCATTATCATTTAATTTACAGCTCTTCCTATGTAAATTAAAAGCACGTTATCCCTTCAATTTACCGAAGATAAATCACCGGACAATTCCCAATAAAAATGATAAATAGCATCTGTGTTAGTGCTGCTGTCGGAGCTGGGGGATCAGGGGAACTTTCAAACAAACAAGGAACACAAAAGGGCTCAAGATGCAGCCCAGTGAGTTCTGGCTAGAAACGATCTCCAGAGATTTAGTGGCAAACCCCTTGCCAGCAGGTATAGCTAGTGGCGCAGCTTTTGGAGGCAAAGTTGCCAAGCGCTGAGGGTTAAGAGCCCAGTATGATAACACTGATTTTCACTGAAGCTTAGTCCAGCTCCCATGTAGATAACAATTTACACAACCAGAAGCGGGCAGGGTAGGAAAGAACATCTTTGCACTACCCCACCTAGAGTTCTTCTCACCTTTTATCTGCTTTGACCAGAAACGCAGTCCCCGTGCCGTACATTCCTCGTTCTAAAGGATGTGCTGCACATACAAGGTAGTGGACAGTACCCTCTATGTGGGCATCTGCTTGCTGTCCTCAGCACTGGTCCGGACTAACTTTTTTCTAGCCTGTAAGGAGACTTTTTCTAACTAAAGAAAGGCTTAAAGAAAACAGTTTAAAACAACAAAGTCATTATGCAAATGTAAGACATTCAAAGTTATAGGCATAGAGATAATACATAAAATGCGAAAGGACAATGAACTTTTTAAATCCAACTTAGGTCATTTCAAATTCTTTTTAAAAAATACGATTCTGTTAGTATGAATATTTTAAACTCATATACAGTGCTCAGCATAAATCCTCTTTTGTCCAACCCCAAAAATCTTCAGTTTTTTTAACTCCATGGTTGTATATTCGTTTCTTCTGGAAACCCTCAGATGTTCACTTAGTCCTCTATAACCCGAAGAAGCACACAGCGAGCTTTTCTGGATGCCTCCCTGGTTTAATAGGAGCAAAGGATTTGAGTTAAAAGCAGTAATATTTTGAATTAAATGAAAATAAAAATGTCATCAAATTCTAAGATGCACTAAAAGCAGTGATTCTAGAGAAAGTTATAGGATTTCATACATATGTTAGAAACAAGAAGAAGCTACAATCAAATTTCTGTTCTTTACCCTTGGGAAGCTAGTAAAAGAACAAATCATACTAAAGTAGGCAGAATAAAATAAACAATAGAAATAAGAGCAAAATGGGTAAGATTTAAAGCAAGAAATTTATAGAGTTTGGGAAACCAAATCAAGTTCTTTGTAAAGATCAATAAAATTATTAAACTTCAGGTTAGACCAATGAAGGAAAAAAGTGAAATGTCTTGAATTATATCAGAAATGAAAAAAATAATCATCACTACTGATCTCATGGACATGAAAAAAATAATAGAGGAATTGTTATGGTCTGGATCTTAAATGAACACTGCAATCTCATGGGTTGAAAGCTTGGTCCTCCTCAGATGGGCACTGGGAGGTAGTGGAAATTGCAGGAGGACTTAGGTATAGCTGGAGGAAGTGACTTTGTAGGGTGTTTTGTCTACAGCTGGTACTGAGCACTTGTCTCTCCCCTCCCGCCTGTCCCCTTTTCTCCCATCTGCCTCCCCCTTTTCTTTCTCTCCCCTCCCCCTCCCCCTCTCTTCCCTTGCCCCCTTTTCCTACCCCTCTCCTCTGTTTGTATCTCTCTCTCTCCTGGCTGCCTTGGCAGAGCAATTCTGACACTCTGTACCATTCTGCCGTGAGGTACTGCTCTCCTAGTTTTTAAAGTAATGGACCAGCTGCCATGGACAGAAACCTCTGACACTGAGACTATAAAAGAGAATCCAATTTACAAAGTACTGAGAACAAAGAATTTAACTGAATATTTATAAAAATTTCATACTCCAGAAAAAAAGCATTAGGAATAATTACTCTTTTAGTCATTCTCATAGGTGGTTAGTGAATAGTTGCTGATATCATCTATATTTCTCTGATAATTAATTATGTCAAACATCTCTTCCTGTTTTCCTTCATTTCTCCCTTCTTTGCGAGGTGCCAGTGATGATTAATTGTTATACGTGAACTTGGCCGGATAAAGGAATGGCTAGCAGATAGGTACAGCACACTTTTGGGTGTCTGAGGCTCTTTCCAGAGGTGACTGGAATGTGGGTCAGCAAACTGAAAGGGGAAGATCAGCCCTGACTTTGGGTTTGTAGCTTGGATAGAATAAGGGAAAAAAGGAGGAAATTGGTATGCATTTCAAGGAACTCCATTCTACTTGAGTGTGTCTTCTGCTGCCATCCCCTGCAGACATCAGATGCCAGTTTCCAACACAGACTCATGCTAGTGGCGCTCCTGGGGTGTCCCAGGCCTTTAGTCTCAGACTGTTGCTGTATACTCGATGACACCTGCCCATGGTTACCACCTTCTCGGACTGAGCAACGGCTTGCTCCTGCAGCTCTCCGGCAGGCAGATGGCCACTGACTCCCAAATGATCCTGTGAACTTACCTACTTGTGATGCATCTGCTCCTCTAAGAGTCCTAAGCAATGCAAAATCTCCGAAATCCTTTGTGCATCTTCCCTGTGACTTCTATTAACCAGGCTACCCTGCAAATGTACCACATTCTTCAGTTTTCTGTTTGCCTCCACACCATTTTAAGATTTCCTAGAAGAAAAAGTTATCCCAGAGGCCTGATTACTTCCAGCTTCAACATTTTGGTTAAGAACGTTATTGTTGGTATTGTGTGCTACACATGCATTGCATAAGTATCTTATCACTTTTTTCTATTTTATGGAATTATTACATCTTTAATGATACTGATATTAATCATAGATCCCTCCATTATAAAATTGTCCCTCAATTTTTTAGTAAGTGATTATTGCCTGAATCAATTATCATGAAAGTTTATAACAATTTGATTGTTACAATCTCCACTGTATTTGCTAAAAGGAATTTTTTGGTAAACATGTTTTCTACATTAACATGTTATATAAAGAGAGAAGAAAGGTGCTCAATTGTTTCTTAGCTTTTTTTTTTTTTTTGGTACCATGAATGGAACTCACAACCTTGCGCTTGCCAGGCAGGCGCTGTGCCACTGTGCCGCTGAGCTATATTCCTGGCCCTATTTCTTAGTTTCTAATTTTCATAGAAAGTCATTGGTACCTTAGTTATTTCCAGTGCTTTTAATTGTCACCTTTTTTGTTTGTTAAATTTCTTAATAAAAAGTGTTATCAAAAATTCACATTTTTAGCCATGTGTGGTGGCATATGCCTGAAAATTCAACACTACAGAAGCTGAGGCAGAAGAATTCTGTGAATCTGAGGCTAGCCTAGGTTACATAGTGAGTTTGAAGTTAGCTTGTCTCACTACATAGTGAGACTATAGTGTTTCAAAAAAAAAATCACATTTTTAAATGTATTTGACAAATTTCTATTAAATACATTAACCTTTTTGGATGCTCAAATCACCCCATCTTGGGAACAGGGCAGTTCTGCATGCTGGTTACTCTGTGTTGATAACTTTGCCCAGCAAATGACACCTGGTATCACCTCCGTGAAGGGATTGCATTCCGATAGGAGTAATGCTCCGATGTTACAATATTTCATTGCTCAGGTTCACCGAAGAAACCCACCACTCACGCAGGTACTGCATGGATCAGTGCTGTACGGACATACAGGACAGAGACAAAGGAAGATCACCTTAAAAAGTGGGCAGAACGCATCAGAACAAAGGCCTCTTCCTGCAGCTGACAACAAAGCGCTCTCTGCCTGCGTCCTCCCGGGCTGCAGGGAATGAACCTGTTCCCTCCACTCCTGGAACACAGACAGCGCAAGGACGGGTGGGAGCCGGATGATCAGCACACGAAAGAGCAGCATGGCGGAGCGCGCACTGCGTCTGAAGCTTGGGAAACTATGGCCCACACCGCGGTACGCCCTCCATGTGTGCTGTGAGAGCTGTTAACCTTTTCATAAGGAAGTGTTTCAAGTCCAGGACTTGTGGGTACACGGCTGAGCACGCGCCAGATGACAGCACGCAAGTGACTGCCTTTTCTAATACACCTTCGCGATTCTCTGACAAACATCCAGGTCATCTCGATGCTTCCTCTCCACACCTGGAGTTAGATGTGCCCGGAGAAGACCCAGGTACTTTTCGAAAGGACAGGTATGAAGAGCGTTTTATTTCCTCATTGTGATTAGTTTGTTGTTGCTTTTCAGGTGTTTTGATCACAAATTTATTTTGTAAGTCCTCCTCTAATTTAATATTTCATAACTTAATTTTATTTCATACTTTATATCTTTTATTCTCACACTTCAAATCTTGGCCTGTAATACTATTAACTTACTCCCTTTTTATTATACTTATGACATTCAAAATATTTTCAAGATAATAAAATATTGTTAAAAACACACTACTTGGTAAAGACGCATCTCTTCTGTCTCATACAAAGACTCATTTTTGTTAGTTGTTGCATTATCCTTCCAGTATTTCTCCGTGTGAATAGAATAAATTTGTATTTATAATTACATCCAACACTGCATACATAGATTGTTAGAATAAATCTATCTATAATTCTGCCTCTCACCCCTTTCAGTGATCATTACCTCAATACATCTTAGACCAGTAATAGTGTATAAATTTCCTTTGTACTGAGGCACTAGCCTTTTTTATGGCTGCACTGTGTGGATGCGTGAGAATTTACGTAAAATTCTGTTGTTATACATTTGTTTTGGTTAAAATCACTTACTAAGGACATCAATATCAGTCTTACTTTCATACTGTTTGAACTTATAAAAGCCAGGAAACGTGTACTTAAGATTGATTTTGTGACGATGCAGACCTGTAATCCTACCTCTCAGCAGGCTGAGGCAGGAAGATCACAAGTTCCCAGCTACACAGGAAATTCCTGCCCCGGCTGAGTGCAGAGGAAAAACTTGTCTCCAGGAAAAAAAATTAAAAATGACTGCATTTCCTTTTCCACAGAATGTCTCTCACACATTTAATAAATCATGTCAGATTGAAACCTTTGAGCTATATACATTTTACTGCTACGATGTGGAGAACTAGCATGTGCTTGTCAGTCTTGCCAAGTGGGATTCTAGAAGAAAGCAGTTACTCCAGCTAGGTTTGTAGTATCTGCTGGCTTGCAGGTTGCAAGTGCTCCACGAGGCGATTTCAGGCAGCTCTCCCTGAAGTGGCGCTGAATGGAGGTGCAGGGTCCCAGACTGGCCCATGATGGCTATAGCAGTTGAGTCAGAGCCGACAGCTGCCTGACTACTAGAAGTAGGTGGTTCTCCTTCAGTCCTCCAGAGATGCTGTCTGCCTTTCTGCCCGCCTGGAGGCTGAGCCTGTGTGCGTCTCCTTGGCTGACTTGGTATTGGTCAGAGTTCTCTGGGGAAAGAACCAACAGGCTGTATACAGAAGGAAGTTTGCTAGGGGATCTGGCACCTATGATTACAGAGGCTGAACAGTCCCACATTTTCTGTCTGTTGATTGGGGCCAAGAGAGCTCGGGGGTCATTTAGTCCAAGTCGTAAGGTCTGAGAATGCAAGCAGCTAAGCTCAAAAACCACCAATGCCCATCTGAGAGCAGGAGAAGCCTGATGCCACACATACGGAGAGAGAACAAGTTTGCCCTTCCTTGCCTTTCTCCTATCCTAGCCCTCCACAGGAGGTTAGATGATGCCACCCACACTGGCTTTGTGGCTGTGCCTGACTTAGTGTGTTGGCACAAATGCTCATCTTTGGCAGAACCACCCTCATAAACATATCCAGAATAATGTTTTACCACCCTAGACATCACTTAGTCAAGTTGATAGAGAAAGTTAACTATCACAGACTACTTTGCCTAAGCACTGCTCCCTGACTCGGCTGTGTCCAACCCTGGTGCCCCGTGTCTGACAGAGGAAGGCAGAGGTTGAGACTAGGCTTCCAGTCCCAGTTTCTTCCCCATGGGATCATCTGTGGCTGAATCTTTTGACTATATTCTACCAGGTAGCGCCACTGGCCAGCGAGGTCCGTACACTCAAGTGGGGAGTCTCTCTATCCCCTATGCTGGAGGAAGTTTGGAGAAGTTACTTGTCTTTAAGGGAAAAAAAAATCTAATTTTTAAAGTTCCATTTTACAGTACCAGTTACAGCAGGTTGTGATAACTTTCTCTGCTGTTCTCTCTTTCCATTTCCAGTGACTGCCCTCCTTACTCTGTCAGAGGCTAAAGAGCTAAAGTGTGACCTTTGCCACGCTGTTCATTATAATGACAGCCCTCTCAAATCTTAGCCAAGTGTCCCTTTTTAAATAATCCTCAGATTTCTGAATTTGATTACGCTGTAATTTTCCTATCAGCATCCTGAATGGTATAAAAGCGATAAGGAAGTTATCAGTAAAAGCTTGAAGATGAATATTAAGTAATTTTTAAATATTTAACAGACTATTGCATGTATAAGCACATTTACTCCATAACATTGTTAATTTATTGACATCTGTAGGGTTGCTCTCTATCTCTTTCACAATATATTACTCCTAAAATACTGCAGATATTCTACACAGTTCCATGTAAATTAATTCATATTTCTTGTTTAACAAAAAAAAACACTGTAATTTTTAAAAGTAGTTTTCTATTTTTAGGGTAACATTAGGCATATAAGAAACTACGCTTGTGTGACATGTGCATGTTATTAAGGGGCTGGTCAGATAAAGCAAAACATCCAGCTTAATGGATAGAGTGGTGATTTCACAAATCAATCATAACTCCTGACATTTTCTATAAAATATTACCTTTAAAGCACTCGTAGAATTTATTTATTTATTTATTTATTTATTGTTTTTTTTCCAGTACCATGAATTGAACTCACGATCTTGCGCTTGCCAGGCAGGCGCTGTGCCGCTGAGCTAAATCCCCAGCCCCGATTTGTAGAATTTAATTCCTTCATGGTAACAAAGCCACCGCTCAGAAGATGTGGTCACATGTACTGTATTTATACAGTAGTATAAATGTAAATATCTATCTGTATGTATTTTACCCAAAAGTTTGCATTCTAGAAATTTCTTCTCCCTTAATTTCATAAAAAAATTTGGATTTTTTAAAAAAGGATCCCATACCAGCAGTTTGAAGGATTCAACAAAAGCTTATTTAATGCAAGTTATCTTTTGACCTCTGTCCAAACAAGAGAACCAGCTTAATTTTTCTCATGGATATATAATTGTTATAATAACGTTCTAAATTAGCACTGTTGGAGACCACTACAAAGGGGATCTGAGCAGGATTTAATATTAGCCAATTGGCTTTCCATGTTCACTTGTGAATCTGTCCAAGGCCTAGGCTCCTTGTCTGGAAATGGTGGACTCATATTAAGTGAACCTCTGTGAGTCACTAATCCCTACTAGAACCTGTAGTGGTGATGAAGCCAGAAAACCTCAAAGGACAAGACAAAATCACAGCCAAGGAAACCTGGGTCAGATCTCAACTAGATAAAGGCTGTAGACTCAGGCATCTCATTCTTCAGTGGATTAACTTCATACCTTACTTGGGGAAGTCCTTAAGTGGTTCTGCCCTACTTGAGTGCTCCCCTCCCTTCTGATAACCAAATAAATATGGGCCACCTGGAGAAGGTCTTGGTCTTTACCCTGAGAGAATCTCGAATTCTGTGAGAGGGCTTTGATCCTCCTGGGGCTCTGAAATCATTCCATTTGCCTCTTTTTATTTAGCCTTCACAGTACACTCATTCAGGAGATTGCAGACCTTATCAGTGCACAATAACTAAGGGATATTATTAATGCTATAAAGCATGGTGCTTTGACATTTCAAAATGCTTTACATGTATGATTTTATTTATTCTTACAATTGTTTATAGACAAGGGCTGGGGATACAGCTCAGTGGCACAAGTGCCTCCCTGGCAAGCACAAGGTCCTAAGTTTGATTCTCGGTACCAAAAGAAAAAAAAAAATTCAATATAATTGTTTATAGACAATTTGAAATGATTGTTTTTCTGAATTACTGGTGAAGAAATAAAAACTCTGCTAAATTAAATTAATTTTCTGAGAACAGTCTTCTATGAGAGATTGAGTTTAGTAAGAATATAAATCTTCTAATTCCATTTCTAGAGCTATTTTCAGCAGATCTCATTTTTAAAAAGCACCAGCAATATTAAACTAATCAAATCAAAATAAAATTCCTTCTAAAATTTTCTAATAAAAACAAAGCAAATACACACACAAGCCACTTCTATTTTAAAGTTTGGGTTTATGTTCTACATGTTACACATGCTGGCAGAAGGGCGACAAAATATATAAACAAATGTGTACTAATACTAGTCTTATGACCGGGGGGGGGGTAATTTAACCCCTCTGTACTTCAGACCCTCCTCTACTTCAACTAGTAAAGATAATGAAGCAGAGAAGTAGAGGCGGCCAAACGGTAGCACTCCGTGGTAGCGATGGGAGTTGGTACTGTTACAGTTCTCATTATTATTCAGTCTAATCTTGGAGAGTCATTTTGTGCAGAGAACCAACATGGCGCTGTGTGTTATTTGCCCTCAGATCTCAGTAGGACAGGAGTGGGCATACAAGTTCATCTATTTGATTTCATTGGCTCTCAGGCATGACTTAGCTACTTTACTTAAATATATTATGTTTACTTGGCTGTAAAATGGAAATTATAT